ATATACACGTATGTATGTATGTATGTATATATTAGCCTCCAGTAGTTGTCGCACAATGAGATACATACTTAAAAAAACATTAACCCATTACTGACCACTTTGTTTGGTCCATCTTAGTTTTATGTGGCATAGATTCTACAAGTCACTGAAATGTTCCTCAGAGATTCTCAATCCATATTGTTCTGATAACATCACACGTGCTGCACAACTGTTTAATGGTGGGAATCTCCAAACCACATCCCAAAGGTACTCCACTGGATTGAGATCTGGTGACTCTGGGAGGCATTAGAGTCACGTGAATCAAAACTCATCAGACCAGACAAAGTCTTCCCAAAATTTATTATCCAGTCTTGCTGAACCTGTGGCCTGAGTCACACTACAAGATTTTAAACCAGTCGGCCGATTTTCAAAGACTGATAGAGCCCACACGTGAGGATAAAAAATCATGGGTCTACCAGGTTTGGTCCTACAGTGTGTGGTGTACAGTCACACAGCAAGAGACAACACACCACACATGAAAAGATATTTCGTTCTTGAACATTCAGATGTCAGATATTAAATCACGTGAGACTTCCTGAAATCTCGCGAGAATTCAGATGTCAGAGGAAAAATCTCACGTGACCTCCAGAGAGACGTGAGTTCAGAGTAAATAAACATTTGTGACGAGGAAGACACAATGTTGATCGTTTGTGGACTATTTTTACCAGAGGAAAAACAATTCCATATAACTTTTAACATCCAGCAGACTTTCTGCTGAGTCATGACAGTTTTTTGCCTTCTGTATTTTGGAATCCCCTCCATGTATATGTCACCTCTCTTTCTGATTGGCTGCACATCTTATTCAACAGGCTGAGAGCTCAGGTGAACACTACACACACTGTGATGTCAGGCCAAAAAAATCAAACATGTTGAATATCCTTGATTTGGAGCATTCCCGACGTCCTTCCGAGCCGACTAGATCACTCTTTACTCACCACCCATGGCAGGAATATGTGCTAGGATTATCTTTAGAGCCATCATCATAATCTGGACTTCCTTAAGATCGTTGGAAGGGCAAAAATCGACCTGATTTTCTTGTAGTGTGACTCAGGCCTTAGCTGACAGGAATGGCACCCAGTGAGGTCTTCTGCTGCTGGAGACTAGCAGGATGTGTTGTGCACAGGCATTGTCTTTAAAATACTTTACTTGTATTGAGTGYTTATTTAACCTACCTTTGCTTTTCTATGATTTCGAACCAGTCAGCCCATCCTTCTCTGACCTCTGGGGTCACCAAGGCTTTTGTGTCCACAACTGCAGCTCACTGGATATTTWGGCTTTTCTCTGTAAATCCAAAAGATGGTTGTGTGTGAAATCTCAGTAGTTTAGCTATTTTTCTGAAACACTTAGACCAGTATGTCCACGTTCAAAGTTATCTAAATCCCTTTCTTTGAACTTGTCAAGCCATCTTCTGGTCTACATGTCATCTTTCTGCTTCCTGTCCTTTCAGAGCCTATGCGGGCCCTGCGGGGTCTCACYGCCACAGAGATCCAGCCTCGACAGTTGGCCCTTCAGTGGGAGCCACTGGGCTACAACCTGACCCGCTGCCACACGTACTCCTTATCCCTGTGCTACCGCTACTCCACGCCAGCAGGGAGCAGCGGAGGGAACAARGCCACGGTCCGGGAATGCCTATCGGTGGACCGCAACACTTCTCACTTCACCRTGAGGGACCTGCCGCCCTTTCGCACGGTCCACGTGCGGCTGGCGCTGTCCAACCTGGAGGGCAAGAAGGAGAGCAGGGAGGTCACGTTCCAGACGGAGGAAGACAGTGAGTGGGAGTTTGAGTTCATTTAAAGTACACCAACAAGTGATAATCAGCCATCCAGCAGGCAGGGATGTTTATGCATGAGCCCGTGTTGTCATTGCTGCTTAGCTTCAGAACTTGTATTTGTAGTTTTCTCTTCTCACTCAGATAATTATCCTGCAATGCTTCAGAAAAATCCAGGCCTTAGTCACCCAGTCTTAAAAAAAACACAAATATTGACTCAGAAAACAAGCTGGATCAGCATAACTAAAAGGCAGATCAGCCTTTTAAACAGAGACCAGTGAAGCATTAATCAGCTCTGCCCATGGCCGGCAGCAAAATGCTAAAATGCTTTTGCTTATCTTTGTATTAATAATTTCCTGTGTACATCAGCAGATTAAGTGTGGTCTAATGCAAATTACTGATGAATAGAAGCACAGATGTTTGAGCTCTTATTGTTATGTATAACAGGCAGGAGTACCACTCTGAAATGTTCTTACATTGGTGCAGAGAGTGGAAAGAAACAATATATTTCCTGATGCCAAAGGCAAATGCCAGAATGTTTTCTGTGTGCATGTGTTCCTATCTGCACCATTTTTTACATGGTACATTTTAATGAAACTTTCAGAAAGTGCTCATTGGGTTGATGTCTACAACTTATTACCACTTAGAGTTAATCCTATTCAAGATGGCTACATCTTGGCCACAGAAAGTGGCCTAAGCTTAAACTGATCCTCATCAAATCTGAGCACTAAAAGATTTGATTGTACATTATAGTAGATAGATTCCACATTCTCTTCTTTTGCTGCCAACAAGTACCGTATTTATTCAAGTATAATACGTAAAAAATTAAATCCATAAAATCATCCATAAAGTTGGGAGGTAGTACTATACTCGGATAAATATTTTTACTTATGTATTTTAACTGAAATATCGGCTTCATTCACAAAATACCTGAGTCCGGAAATGAGACAATGTTGTAAAAAGCAGTTGAAACGAGCTCACCTCTGACACTCCTCTGTGCTTCAGAGTGAGATAATAACAGATCCAGGCAGGAGACATGATGTGGAAAAAAAAGGGGTAAAATCAGTCCTGCACCTTATTAATGATAACAAACTAATGACATTAGTGTGTGACCGAGCCGCTCCTTGAACAACAACAAACACATGTTCATCTGTAATGGCTGCCGTCTACCGGTGTTCTGAAAAAGTTTGTATCTCTGGAAAAAGTTTCCCCACCAGAGGGGGCGCTCGCGAGTAGGAAGTAATCTGCTTTTCCCCCACAAGATGGTCCAAATCTCATGTGAAGTCTCTGACTTTTGTGTTGGCGCCTCCTGGTGGACTATGTGTAAAATGCCAGAATTCATATGATGCTGCTACAGCTGATATATATTTGTTGTCAAAATACCTTTTAGTACATATGTTGTTAAAATAAAATGAACAGTCCAATGATCATTTTACTGATATGTATAAAGACTGCAAAGGCTGAAAAATCTTCAAGTCTGAATGAAATTGGAGGTAGTTTTTGAGGATTAAATTTTTTATGCTTTTTAAGCTCAAAAAATTGGGAGCCAATTGATACGATCTCATGTATCAATATTATACATGAGATCGTATTATACACGAATATATACGGTAGGTATATACATTATATTAGATAGATTCCACATCCTCTTCTTTTGTTGCCAATAAGTACTTGCAGTCAAATTTGTCTGTCTGTTAGCAAAATACCTCTTGAAATATTGGACAGATTTCATCAAAATGTTCACGAATAAATTATTAAATTTATGACTTATTAATGTTTAGAACCAACTACAGTCAAGATCAGTGCCACAGCTATATGACCTAAGAAAACACAAAAAATAGCTGTTGGTCAGTCGATTGTACAGAAAGTGACATGAGATTTGGTTCATAGTAAATGAGAATGATCCCCAACACATATTATGAGGACAATTATGAGGTTATGAGTTTTTAGTTTTTCTTTCAAAGGTAGCGCAACTCTGTTTGCTGCATGACCAGTTTCACCTGTTCCCCCATGTTTGTCATGTTGTGTCTTCTTGAATGGGTGTTTCTTAACTGCCCCTCCCCCCTTCCCTGAATGTACAGCACCTTGTGAATATTTCTGTGAAAGGCGCTATAAAAAAAAGACTTTACTTACTTTACTTACAAAAAGATTTTTAAATTTTTTTCTTTAGCAGAAAGTAATAGTCAACACTATCTATACGTCCAACTTCACTGGACAGAAAATATGAATGTGTCAGAAAACAATCCAGACAGCTAACTGGTTTTATCCAGCACAAAAATGGCTACAAGTCAGTTAATATTATAAACATTGAGCTAAAATTTGAGGTGGTATTAACTGAGAGTCATTCACAACACAAAGTCTGAGTGTGACTCAGCTCAGGCACAGAGAAACTCACAAGGCGAGGCCGATCATAGGCTGAAAGGTGGCGGGCGATACACTTCCCTTCAAGGAATGCTCAGGTTTTCTGAGGACATGCAGTTGGCAGCAGATTTACTTTTTAAATCCTCATTTATATGCATTTTGAACATCTGGTAAACATGAGGAATTGATTTACATTAATTTGTTAAAGCAACATTTAAAACGCCGAGCAGTGGCAGAAGTCATAAAAAAAGCAGGCACAGAAAAAAAACAGACATCGCTCTTAATTATCCACTCCTACACACGGCTGTCTTCAAGGAAGGAAGTGAATTTACATAAAGTGAGGAACACACAGAGGTTAGCATGGTGATGTGATTTTTATTCATTAGAACTGGCAGCTTTAGAAAGTGATGCCATAAAACAAATATGTTAGAGAAAAACAAGCTATAGCCGTTGTTGTTGTACTTTGTTTTGAATGTGGAAATCATAATTTGGTTTTGATCTACTCATGACATGAAAGTGTCAGAGGTTTTCTTGAATTGCTTTTTTTCTTCTTCTTCTTCTTTTATGGTTAAAAAGAAGCAGGTTTGGCTTTCATACAGCCAGATTCTTCTCTGGTATTTACCTGAGCTTCAGCTTCGGTTCTCAGGGAAACATGGAGCAGATAAAGACCCAGCAGAGCAAATCTTTCCACCAGCAGGAATTGAATTTGAATTGCTCAGATTGAATCTATATGTGCATAATTTTAAATCGAATTCATTGGTTTGAAAATAAATTGTATTAAATTGAAGCTGAATTTAATGGTTTGACGATGAATTTGACTAAATTGAAGCTGAATTTAATGGTTTGACGATGAATTTGACTAAATTGAAATTGAATTTAATGGTTTGAAAATAATTTTACTAAATTGAAACTGA